AACAAATCTAAATTGCCACCTCCTGCAGGCAGTGAACACACACTCACACACACACTATCTCACACACACACGCACACACACACACACACACACACACACACACACACACACACACACACACACACACACACACACACACACACACACACACACACACACACACACACACACACACACATGCAGGAGTGTGTATAAGCCCAAGTGTAATTACATGCATGCTTTAGCCCAACACTGAGTCCTTAAAAAGCTGCGTGTCCACAGTTTGAAAAACAACAGGGTGAATATTCTCCGAGTATTATTTGACCCATTTCCAAGTGTGCTGTCTCTAAAGAGTTTATAAGCGTTTCACAAAGATTGAGACTACCGAAAGACAGATAAAAGGGACAACGGTCAAAATGCAAGCATCAAACGCTCAGATATCTTGACTTTGATCGGTCCCAGCGTCTTAAAAAGCACTTTATAAATGCAGTTTTTTGGAGACAGACGAGTATGAGGGTTGCTTTCTTTTAAAACCTCAGAGTTTTAAAAACAGTTAATGAAGCAAGCGTCAAGATTTGGGAAATTGAAGCTTCAAACGCTAAGATTTAATGACTTTTATCGGCCCTAGAGACTAGAAAAGCACTTTCTAAATGCAGTTAGTTTGACATTTACCCTCTATTATTGGTCCACTCCAACAGTTTTACACAAATAAGTCATTTTACCCAAACGTTACTTATTTCTGTTGCCTAAACGTTGGTGGAAAATACTTTTGGATATTGACACCTGGCTGGATATTTGTCGAATAACATTTGGACCAATCGGTAGTGTTGTTGGTTGCATATTTGGAACATGTGGGGTTTTTTTGGAGACAGAAACGTATGATGGTCCTCTCTTGCTTTATTTTAAAGCCTCTGAGTTATAAAAACAGTTAACGAAGCAAATGTCAAGATTTGGGAACAAAAGAAGGTCCAAATGGATCACACAGTCAGCCAATCAGGTTTCAACCAGCCAACACTTTAACCAGTATTTGTAGGTTAAAGTGTACTCCATCTACAGCAGGGTTGTAATGGTCCTTGGTCACTGGGAGGAGTGGGAATAACTGTAATGTGTCTAATGGTTTATTATCATGGGGATCTGGTTTAATAGCCGCCTGTTAAAGCCCTTCATATGGACACTAGCTCGCTTTGTCCTGGCTCTCTGTGTGATCATTCAGTCGTGATCACACGCACACACACACACACACACACACACACACACACACACACACACACACACACACACACACACACACACACACACACACACACAGAAAAGAGAAACCAGTGCAGAACTGCCTTAAACCTGCATTATTTCTAATATCAGACTCTAAAGTCACTTAGGTTTATGTCTCATCTGTCTTTGCACTTCTTGTTTTATTTTGTATCTACCTTTTAGTCTAGCTTCAGAGCCCTTTACTTCCTCCCATTGTGTGTTTTCCCGCCAACATATGACAAGAGAACTGTGTGAATTTTCCATATACTGTAAAGACCAACAGTAAAATCAGTAAACTCATAACAAAGCAGTTAAACATAGAGAGCGATTATTCAGCAAAGACTTCCTGTGTGTATAATTTGCTCAAAGTTCCTCAGGAGGCATCCATCTCTTAATTCATTCACTCATTCATTAAGTCAGCTCATCTACGTCCCACTCCGGTATTGATCGATTACACAATAAAAAGATAATCAGTCAAACTGTATCTGTGGAAAAACCCCCGGCTGCACATTAGGAGCAGATAAACCCTTGTTTGATGTCAAAAAATTATTTATGCCGAGTCAGGTTTACGCCAAGCTGGCTGCCAAGATGCAATGAACGCTGATAAATAAAAGTCATCCTCCATCAGGCTCCATCACTCACTAACAACTGTTCTCAAGGTGAGCGTTTCTACACGTGTTTGTGGATGTTTCTACGAAAAACAAACATCACAGCAGCTTCAGGTGTGTTTCTACAAGAGCATTTATTCATGAAGTGATTCCTGGTGTTTTCCATGTGTAACTTCCCTGGTGCATGTTGAATACCCCCTGCTCTAATAGGGAATGGACTTCCTGCTGGTTAATCTTGTTAAATGATGGCCAACAGTCAAAAACAGCTATGAGAACAAACAGGGGACTATTTTCTGCCAGCCTCTGAATATTGGAAATTAATAATTTATTGCCATTTCATCATAGTGTACTAAAATTTGGTTTGGTGATCTTGTACAAAACAAAAAGTGCCTAAATGACACGACTAAACGTCATCACGCCCAACATTAGCCACCTTTAGCTTAGCGGTGGTGACGTGAAGTCATGTGACCGTGCTGTAGTTCCTTTATAGCCCAACATTAGCCACCTTTAGCTTAGCGGTGGTGACGTGAAGTCATGTGACCGTGCTGTAGTTCCTTTATAGCCCAA